TCTCTTTTTTTTTTAAGATTTTTTTTTTTTTTGTATTTCACTATGACCAAAGTAGTATAATGTTACCATAGTAACATTGTACTACTTTGGGGAAGTGATCAGTAATTTTTTTTTTTTTAACACAATTTGCTTATAGCAAAGAATTACTTTGCTATAAGCAAACATTTACCTGAATGTTATCGATTCATTCAGGGTTATTTTTATTTGTGCTTAGCTGTGATTTGGCCACGGCTAATCACATGACACAGCTGGGCTGTGATTGGCCCAGCTTATGCATGTGATTGCTGTGACCATTCACAGCTAGACACGCTAGTATACAATGGATGGCATGAAAGGAAGCCATCCATTGTATACAACGGTCATGTGACCTGTTGTGATTGGTCACAGCAGGTCACATGGTACTGGAAACGGGGCTGTACACAGATTCTGTCATCAGCTGTGTCCAAGGTACACGGCCAGTGACAGATCGCGTTGCAGAGCGGCCCTGCAGGCAGGCGCATTGCGCACGACTGAAAGGACGCCATATGGCGTCCACCCGGAGGGATGAGCTGCTCGCCCGGCCGCCATCTGGCTATAGGCCGAGCAGCAACTGGTTAAATACCAACAAAAAAATTATAAAAATGTCATATGGGTACAGTGTTGCATGACTGAGTAATTGTCAAAATGTGACAGCACTGAAAGCTGAAAATTGGCAGGGGGTAAAAGTGATCAGTATGGAGATGGTTAAAGGTACCACACAAGACAAGAAAATCTTAAAATATATAATATTAGTAACAAGGTTAACAGTATTAAGATCCTTAGGATCATTTTAGGATCCATGCACTTTTAGCCCTGTTAAACATGAGGATTTTAAGTTCGGATTTTCTTGTCTTGTATGGTACCTTCAAAGTCTGAATTTTTGTTCTTTTTTTAAATTTAATTGACAGTTACAGATGTGGTACTGGTTGTCCCCCTCCTTGTATGTATTGTAACTGTAATGACTCCAATAATTTTGTACAAATTATTATTGTATAATAATTTGTATAGTACAAATTATTATACAAATAACAAATATAACTATACAAATACTGTATGATAACAACAATGGTTGAATGCAGGCGTTCCTCTTCAAATGTTGCCAAAGTAAGTTTAGACAGCAAAGTCAGTCTCTGTAAAAGTTGCGGTTCTCATTCTTGTCATGAGTTCCCCAGCAGAGCCATTCAGCATGATTTAATTGTCTGTATTTTATTTTAACAATGCACAGCTGGTGCTCATGTGTACAACACACATTATTTAAAGTGTTACTCAACCCAGGACCCTGCATTCACTATATCTGGTCCCCCACAGTACACAGAACATGGAAATGCAATTATATTAGTAAATATAATCTGCTAAATACCGTTTCAGCAGTTAGAGCAGTCTTGTAACTTCTATCAGTGTTCAGAAGAGCACTGGTTAAAACTTGTAGGAGGAGTTTTCTGCTATAGGAGGATGCAAACCCCCTGACCCTCTGTTTGGACAGTGCTGATTGGCCCTGTGCTGATCACATGCACTCTTCCAAGCAAAAAAAAAAATGCTCTAGCAATACACACTAACCTGAGAATGTGCTTGTGGCTATGGGTTCAGTCTGTCTTATCGGCTGGACATCTGAACAAGAGGAGGGGCAGAGGAGTCAGGATCAAAGAGCCTTTTTACACAATGCAGAGGATTAACCCCTTAGGTTCTACAGTGAGTATAACAAGCATGCTTTACTGCAGATACAGACTGCTTTTACAGTTAGGTGTGTAGCCAGTTATTTCTATAACACCAATTATATGCTGACCAATTTGCAATTGGAGGATGGATTACAGTTTGGATACTCTATCAGGACCTACATAAAACACTTTGTAGCTATGTCTGTAACAAGTACAGTTGCAGAACTGACACATAATACTCAACACATATGAAGCACAAACTGAATACTGTATATAGAATAGTTCATAGTAGACAGAGGTGCCCATGATATATTTATTCAGTCTCAAGTACCTTAGACATAAACTGAATAGGTCCTGGAAGCAATCTTCAAACACATTACTGGATCAAAGGAAACCTTGATAGCTGTGTTAGCAACCTCAAATACTACACTAAAAAAGGAATTTTACTTCCATTTAAACTTTAATAAGCAACTACACTAAAACAAATATCATGTAAATATTGTAGTGTTTGCTATTAGCTTGCTTATAAGTGCCTATAAACTCCTACATACATACATACTCTTACATATACATACAGTATACCCAGTGAGGTGACTGATCTCAGGTGATACAGAGTTGAAACAAATCCTCCTACATAATTTGTACCGGTTTACCTGCAGCCCTCTCTTCTCTACAACCGTTTAAAGCCCATAATTTAGACAGTTTGTCTAAGCTTTTAGAAGGGGGGGGGCTGAAGTTACACTCAGTGAGAAAAGCTGAGAGCTGATTAGAGCTAAAGGAATCCCTCCTCCTCACACAGCACACATCAGAGCTGATGCTGTCAATCACAGGCTGTTTGCGGGAGTTCCCTCCCCGTCACCTTTTTTCTCTTGGTGTCAGGAAAACTTGTCAAAAGAGACCCACGCAGACAGCAGTGGAAGGAAGAAGCAGTAGGAAATGATACTTAATGCTCTGGATTGAGACAAGTACACACTACAGTGGGATATGCTTTATTCATGTTTCATGTTTGAGGGTTACAACCACTTTAAATATATTGATCCATAGAGAAGCCTCATACTTCTGAAGTTTAATCCCTAAACAGTTTCTCTTTTCAGGAACATACTTGTTACTACACTGAGATCCATTATTGAAATGGCATCATGTTTATAGGCCAGTATATCATCTTGTGATGTCTGCTATAACATTACTGCCTAGGTTACACCGGGTGCCTCTATGTATTATTCATGCCTTTGAGAGACAATTGAGGACCTCAGAATTCAGTCAGAATTTTCTGGAAGCTTGGGATAACAAGCAGAGTTATGTAGCGATGTGCAATGGAAGCCACTGAGTATAACTGAACTCCTTGTTGCAGGTTAGCGACTGTATATAGGAAGAACCCCATCCCACTAAGCCACAGGGGCCGACTTACTAAAGGGATATAGACTGTACTTTGCGACTGCTGTTACTCTCGTTTTCTTCAGAGCTTACCGAATGTGGTGAAGCTACACTTCTTAAACAATACCCAATCAGGTTCAAGAAAAATCATAATTAAAAAAAAAAACAGCATTTCTGCTTGCACATGATTGGATGATGGAAATCAGCAGAGCTTCACCACATTCACCAAGTTCTAATGAAAATGAGGGCAACTGTACTTGCAAAGTGCACAGTCTAGTTGTCTTCAATAAATCAACCCCACAGAACAATGTTAATACATGTACAAAATTCTCACACAAGCCATATAAGGTAGCACCTGCTGTCCTGGAGCAAGTTCCAGCTGAGCTGGGACACAGACATAAAATATGGACAGATGTACTAACCTCGCCGTACTATATGCAAAACTTACAAAAAAAAAAGTTTTGCTTTAAAGTTAATTATTAGAAGAGCAGTAAGCATACAAATACAATGTGTTTTAAAAAAAATATCTGTACTAAATCTCTACAAAGGTAATTGGAAAAAAAAATGGAAAAATTAGAGCACTTAAACACACCCCCCCATAAGAAAGTGTTGATTGTTTTACACAAGTTCCATTTCACCATGCACACTAGAGTGAGAGCAATATTTCTAGAGCCACAGTTTATTGTTAACTCCAAACTGATGATGTACAGGCTTTTAAAGCATTGCCTATGGACAGTCTTGAGTACCGAAAGTTTTCGTAGACAAGCTTAAGCCTTGACATACTGGCCTCTTTACCCAGTGCAACCCCATATTTTATGTACCAAAAAATTGCGGTAATATATTGCATTTGTGCGCATTAAAATTCACTTTAGTGTATTTCTTACTGAAAATAATCTGATAAACTGTTGTCCTAATAGTACGAGAAAAATTAAAAATCAATGGTGAATACTATCACTATGTTATTCTTCAGGCTCTCTGCTTTCAGAAAATATATGTTTGCAGATTTTAACTGATCTTCAGGCCTAATATGTGTAATGTAACGTGTGCAAAAAATTTCAAAAAAAGGCTGTAGCAGCGAAAGGATTAAATATAGCTGAAATCTGGGAAAACTGCTAAATACACAAGTTAGATATCCATGAGAGATGTTTTAGCTGCTTAATGATTTCTATTTGACAGTCCATACAGTTTCAAGACCTACAAATCTTTGCCACACAGCAGAGCACTGTCTAGCAGGGAATGAGGCCTGATCTTTTTCTGCTGCAGTTTCACTTTCACTTACAGACCTTCCTTATCCCTACCCTGTGACTGTACAGTGAAAAGGAGAAGCAGTAGACTGATTAACTCATCTCTCAGTTACTCTCCTCTCTCTCCTGCTATCACCATGACTCTTTGCACTGCAACACACCTGACTGGCTTCCTTGTGCTGCTTCTCACTCTCCCTTCAGATTATATAGTGGACTGCAAAAGGCTGATACGAAATCAAATACCGAAAATTGCACTGATTCATTTAATAAATATATTTATTAATATATTAATGATTACAGAGCTGCTGCATATTTTATATCTGCCCACAGTTCAGCTTCAAGTGACCCGATCATCATGTAAAGTAGATGAAAAAACTTCATGCAATGTTACAGGCTAGCAAACCACAAACTTTGAATTACATGTGTTCCTTAGAACAGAACACAGTAGGACTTCATTACGTCAACTACCCTTGATAGCAAAAAACTGATTGTGTTTGGGATTCCTGCCATACAAAGTTGCACAGCATGAAGAATCCTTCAGAAAGAGGCTTGTTAAATAGTTCTACCAAAGAAATGTAAGGTGTAGTCTTTTATATTAGTTCAAATTATTATGTTGACATTTTAACTCTTGCATATGCCCATCACTGGGATAAAGGCCAGATACTGCATATTGTACAGATACTCTGGAAGAGGTGTAGATCTTACTTACCATCGCTGCTCCCTCTCAGCACCACATCTGGAGATGGCGTCTGTTGTGAGCGTGAACCAAATGAATCCAGACTGTCAAAGGAGTCGTCTCTGCCATGTCTCGGTGGGGGACAGAGAATCGCTTCTCTCAGAGTCCCAGCAGTCAATGTATCCACTGTCACGGATGCTTCTTTTAGGGCTTTCCACCTCTTCGTTTTCCTAAAATAAAAAAGGCATAACCATGAAAAGCTTCATTCAAGATCCAATTTTATCAAATTTCTATGGCACTGAAACAGACAATTTACACTTCATATCTTCATTTTATTAATTTTCCTAAATGTTTTATCAGGTTTGCATAAACCATTTATTACAGTAGGCATGTGCCTATAGGTAACAGACAAAGTGTCTTTTGCCTGTACATTTATTTTAAAACACATATGTTATCATCAGCAGCAAAAATCTTCTCATATGAAGTGTTGTGTTACACTATTTGATTTATTATTATTTCTCTGTGACCATTACTTGTTTATTATTGCTCTGTGTCTTTAAGCTGTTTTATTTAAAAAAAACCTCCTCCTGTCTAAGCTGAGCTCTTTCTCTCACCAAACTTGTGTATACTCCTCCCCCCTGCCTCTCGCTTTATTCATTCCACTGAATCCTGTCTTCCTGAATGCATCTTTCCATGAAGCTTACAACATTGTTTTTCAACCTATGATTATTCTCCATTAAACGGAACATTCGTATGGGTTTCCTCATCTGACTTCCTCAACATGTGAGTTTACTCATTGAGTTAAACTGTCTGACCCGATCCAAGAGATAAATTCAACACACGTAGTATAGCTGTATACATAGCTGGAAACAAAGTTTAGTATCTCATAGTTGAGTCAGAACATGAAGTTATTTGGCCATTATCAAAGTAATCTAAATCTGATTATAACCCCGACAGCAAGGAGATACTCTGTATTAACAAAGATGATCCCACCACAGGAATGTTACTTATGGAGCTGAAATGTGTGTGCCTACAGGCCTTAGCGAAGCCCAGTTCTGAAAAAGGGAACATGTGAAGACTGAAGTGCAGATTCCTCACAATGCCACCATATTAACAGCTACAAACATAGTAACTGTTGGACTGTAAAGGGGCCTGAAAAGAGCTGGAGGGAGACCCCAGTGGGTACCGTAAAAGTCAAATTCTTTATCAATAAGCAACCAAGCCTACCTTACCACTGTTGGTCATCTGGACCTCTACAGAAATTACAGATACCAGTATAGACAGTTTAATTTTTAAAGAGCTGTGACTTGGAATTAGGTTCAATTACATCAAGTACTCACGTGGAGCTAATAGACAATTAAAGAGGGAGAAATCTTTTTTGGCACCAATTCACAAAAAGAACACTGGGGAACTGTAGAAAGTACAGAGAAGCGCAACCAAACTAAAAAGAGGTATGGAAGAGCTCAGCTATGAGGAAAGATTAGAGGAACTGAATTTATTCTCTCGAGAAGAGGAGATTAAGGGGGATAAGATCAACATGTATAAATACATCAGTGGTTCATATAGTGAACTCTGTGTAGAGTTATGCATGTAAACAATTAACCCCTGATAGACATTACTGCTGCTCATGCTGGCCGACAATCTTGCATACTAACAAAGACTTTCCTTTCCTTGAGGAACTGTATGCTTGCCTACTGTCAAAGCTATTTATGTAGTGACTCTACTGGGGTATCTACACATATGCATCTACTTGATTTTCCACATGCATACTTAGCAGATCTCTGCCTAACTGCTCTTGACTTACAACAATAGCTTTCTAAAGCTAACTTACATATGCTGTGGAACAATCGTTAAGATTTCGATCCATAAATTGAGGAATGATTTATACTGTAGTATGTCAAATATATCCCACATCTATAGGAATTGGTGGAATTTTTTTCAATTCACATTTTCACTATCAGAGTTATTTAGAGCTCACGATCACAAGTGCCGCATTATTACATAGTAATGACATTTACCAGACAATGCAATCCGGATTGCATTTTTAATTTAATTTTTTTAATTGTTTTTGGCTGACATTTATGTGAGCCCACGATTGGAAGGTATCACAAATTTTCTTTGCTATAGTTTTGTACTCATTACTGATCAATTTTCAATAAAGGTTTTTGTATTCTTTTTCAATTAGCTACTCTGCATTGGGTGATTAAGTATCTGATTTTATCAGTCTGTTCTTTACAGCTGTTGCATTTTTTCAATTTTAACCATTACCTACTAAATCAAAAATGAAAGAAGGTTTTGGCTTTAGATGTACTTTAAATTGAACTTGACTTGAAAATACATCTTTGCTAGCATGCTCAAACAGAAAAATACCTTCTACATATCGTATGCCTCTTCAGAAAAAAAACAAAACCAAAAAAACCAAACCCTCATGTTTTGTTTCTAGGGTATACCTTCTAACCTGCTGCCTTCCACACATGTGCACAGCAGCACAAACTCCAAGCTTTTGTCAAATGCTGAAGAATGGACACCTAGAGCTATGCTGTTATACAGCCACAGGATCTTCCACACCCACAGAATGGCCTTATAAGAATAGGTGCAGAAAGAAGACAGTGGGCTTCAGGGACATTTCCCAATATTTACAAAGGGACTTTCATTTTACTTCATAAGGTTTTTGTTACAGTTGCACTTTGGAACAATTGCCAAAAATATATTGGTAAATAAAGCAATAAGGAATTAGGATGGGATAGATGCCTGCATAAAATAATATGCATCAACTCTCTGCCAAGTTCTGACTGCAGGGGATCGAAGGCGCTCTTCGCTGACCCACACATATTGAAAACAAGAACAATGGTTGCCTTTGACTGCCCAGCACTTCTACATTTTTCCCAGGGCAGCCAGTACTCAGCCAAGTGGTGAAATCCAGAGAAGGAAAGGTCAGTGAAAGACATCCACATTCTTATAGAATAAAACCCTTGTCGACTACAGCATCACTTAGACAATAACACAGACAAGAAAACACAATAAGGACACATATAGTGACCTAAAATAGTGAAAACAGCATTATGTAATGCCATCACTGCAAAGAGAATGATTCAAGGCAAGATAGATGCAAGAAACATAGCAAAGAACTCCTGTCTAAACAATAACCTGTACTTGGACTGTGGTGAAGGAACGGTTAAAATTCGAAATATTCTGTATAAATTCTGTTTTGGGTTACTTATAACATGCAAACAGGCTGCCCTCATAATCCTCACGTAGACAGACAACATCGTTTGCCCCACTGATGACTAACAACAGTATAGCATAAAACAAAGCAAAGCAAAAAAACAGAAGAAGAACATGAACGTTATGAAATCTGGCAGCATTAGTGTCCTTATTACACATAACTAATTATATCTGAGTTGTAGCTATTAAATAGGAAACACTCATTGCAATAGACATAAATGAATTAGACTGTTGAAGCGGTGCCCAAAAAAAGACAAATAGAAGGCAGATCACTAATCATCAGAACATCCTGTTGCACCCCTGCATCTGGTCTTTTTCCTGTTTCGGATGTAACATGCTTTGTTCTCCACTGTTTCTCTATGTTAAGTGGTCATCTTGGTACAAGCATATCTTGGTTCCGCTTGCCCATCTGCGGGCCAGCATAGTGAGTGCTGCTAAGTAGAGGGGAGGGACTAAAGCGGACACATGCTCTCCTCCCCATCTTGCTTCTGACCCGGAACTGACATGTATGAGGTCACTTCCAGGTCCCCATTGACAGTTTCCCCAGAAAAGAACATAATGCAGTGGAGTAGGGGGGAGTCATGCAAGGACTCTTAGAGAACCTATCACAAAAAAAATCATCACATAGGGGACTTTTTGCCACTATGTGATGAAATTGTTTTTCTTTTAATTGTATAAAAATTAAAGTTACACCCAAGCACATAAATCCCCCCCCCCCCCAAAAAAAAAAGATGCTTTGAGGCCCCCCCATATATACGCACATGCAGACGTAAATGCACGTGTTGGCGTGCCTACGCATGAAACCGTTTGAAGCGTTGCCTATAGAATGTATAGGGTACTGAAGTGGCTCCTAACTTTGTTAGCTGGCTCCTAGACTCAAATACATTTTTCAAGCCCTGTGATAGATGCTCTGATGGCTGGTGGAGATAGGGGGGATATTCAAGAAACACCAAAAAGCACAAATCCAGAGTAGATGAGATAAGAAGCAGGAAGCACTTTGCATTCTAGGTCCTCAAGTACAGCTTACTCTCCAGCAATTAAAACAGTGAGCAGGACAGTGGTAACATCACAAAAGTCTCATTTCAAATTTCATTAGATAATAGTCAAAGGCAGACATGCCTTAGATGATCTCACAGTGCAGGTACAGGGTTCTGGGGCTTAAGGCATAGGGGTGCCTAGGCACAGAAAGCCAACTGCTGTATTTTGTATTTTGGAGTGTGGTGGGGCAGTGGCGGGGGATGCGGATTCAAGACAAAAGTTAAATCTTGTAGGGTAGTGCTTAGACCTTATTCGCATTTCTAAATGTTACCAATAAGACAGAAAATCTTTCCTTCAGGTCCACCTCAACCTTAGGAAGCATATGTTAATTTAAAAATATAAAGCAAGTAAAAAACAGTGTTGAGGTGACATGTGTCAGAAAACTATCCAACCCTTCACAGAGTAAGATTTTTTTTTTTTTTTTTTCTTTCTTCGGAGGAGTTTTTTGAGTTTACAGAGCTCTCATCCCTTCACATGCTTATTTACTTTAGAACAGTACTGGGATTTGAGTACATTCCACTGAGAAGAGGCCTATCAACAGCTTTTCATAGATCTTTTTAGATCTGTTCCAATTGTTAAGTCAAACATATAAATGTTTTCTTAGCAAGCATATCTTAAATAATATATTAAACTATGGCATAAAAATTATTGTGTATGATGCATCTTGAACAGCCTATCAATAGGAGAAATAGCCGATTATTTGATTGAGATATAGTAGGAAATGTAAATACCCACTGCTATAATATAATGACTATTACTAGAAATTCCATAAAGAGTTTAAAGTAAATAAAGAATAATAAAGAAAATAAAGTATACTTAAATGACATTTCCACTTATGAAATTTCAGGTCAGATTTACAGGCAAGCAATGGTTGCTCAAAATATGAAAGGCATGAGCTTAAGGAAATAACTCCCTCCATTTGCTCCATCTCTTGTTTGGATTAAGAAAAATTCATAGACAAAGCCTAGATTTTTACTTCAAGGAATGGAAGCAGAAATAGTGTTCAGGCAAATAACATTTGCCTGAACACTGTTTTTATAAACAATAAAAAACTGTAGATTCACAGAAACAACCCTGTTGAAAACCAGGTCTTTTTTGATTGTAGGTTTGGTTTAAAAAGCAAATCCTTCAAAACAGATGCCCCAGTTCTTAGATGGAGCTTGGCAGGGCTTCTGCCTCCTACCAAATGTCTGTTGCTATCCCTTGTCCCTTGTCCCTCCCTGTCACATCTGGCTTGAGTGTAGCATTTCAGACATTAATTAAAATTAATTGTTTATGGCAAAGTCACTAGGCTCCCTTTACCAACTTTTTTTTTACTGTGTACTTCTAGGCCTTGAAACACCTTGGAATGATACCTACAGGTATGGAAGGTGATGGGATAGTGGTGCACAGGAATCCAGGGGAATCCTCAGATTTGGGACATTGGCAAAATGCTTTGAGCATCGTGCACTGGAAGAAAACAATGTATTGGACTCTCGCCATTCTATTCTTTACATATGGTTGAGCCAGCTTTCAGAGCTATTCAGTTTCATTAGGAGGGCTTCCGCCCCCACTGTATGGTGTGCTATATGCTGTTCGTTAATAATTTCTATATAGTATTGTACAATAAAATTAATGTTTTATGGAATTTTGACTGATCTCCTATGCTGTGCTTATATAGTCATATGTATGAGGTAGGCTGGTTATTGTTCTCCAGCTTCTACCTGTGTTTTCCTATATAATTTTGGGATGCGGCACATAGAAAAATTTTCTTTGTTCGGGATTAAATAGTGTAAATTGCAATTTGCATTATATTGTTAAGCCCCAATGTTCCATGACCTATTTCTAGAATTAAGTAGGTGTGGCCCACATTAAACCCAACATGGCACGCAAAGGACAAAATGTGGCTCCCTTGAAGATTTAGTCTTCTCAGTTTGGACCACCATTTTATCAGAGTTTGACATGTCTGATATAGACCATACCACCCTTTCCCAATGGTCTCCTTTCCGTATTGTGTCCCAGATACTCAACAAAACAATATATTTATCATGGTGGGGTTCATGCTATCATGGCCAATGGGTGAGCCTGTTGCTTTGGAATCTGCAGCTCATGCAGAAAATTAATTTCCTCTTATGAAATAACATGTCAGCAATCTTACAAAAAAAAAAAAGTCAACCTTCTGCTGACAACTGTGCTATATTTTATTTTCTAGTCTGACACAACACTGACCTTGTGTTTTATCAGTAATTCAAAATTCTCAGTTTGCCAAATATTTTCTTTTGGCTTCTTGAGTTATGTCATAAAATATATAAAAAAAACCCATACCTTCCTCATTTGTGCCAATAAGCCTTCAAATTCTTTCAGGTCCAGGTGATTTCCACTGTATGATGCACAGCTGTTTGCCGCTTTTCCTAGCCAATAGACAGTGACGAGTACCTGCAACAATAAATAGTATTTCAGTGCAAATAGAAAGCTGGATCACAGGAAGATTTTGGAGCCATGTGAACTGGAGAACACCAGAAACTGGCAGAGAGGAAAAACTGTAATAAAGTTTCACACTATTGTTTGGTATTTTGAAACGCATCCAGAGCAATGACATTTTGCCAGCAATAAAACATAAAATGTTCTGTTACAGGGTTTGTCCATGAAATTTGCTGGCTAAAACCCTATTCAGCTTATCATTCCATTATGTGATGCATATGTATAGTAACTGGGCTCAGACAGATCACATTCACATATCTGATACAGAGCAGGAAGGGCTGGAGTAAATGTATGGTTCTAAGTCAAAGTCGTCTCTCAGACATGCCTGAGATTAGATAGTCTGGCTCTTAGTGGAAGACAACGTGTCAACACCTCTCATACTAATTTATCAAGTTTAGTTGTTACCACCACCCAGCCAAATACAAAGTCAATGGACCTTTGGGGGGGGGGGGGGGGGGGAATAAGAAAAGAAGGTGCTATTCACAAAAAAAAAACAAAAAACAAAAAAAAACAGGCTTCAGTATGAATAAGTGGACAAATGACTGATTAACTCATGGACATTGCTACACTGCTGATTGAATCCTATGGATATTATGCTCTTCTATGCAGTTTTATACAATAGACTCCTTAAATCTCTGTGCCAGTTGCATCACGTTGAAATGACATTGCTTTACATGTATTGTACAAAAATAGACACATGCACAGGTTGTACTAGACAGAGCAGTGCCTTTATTCAACCTTACAAACTATGTACATGTTGTGGATGCACCTGTGATCATATGAAGTACCAGGAAAAAACATACATGTAATATCCCTCTACATACTGTAAACGCAAATTTCTTATGTTAACTTTAAAAGAGGTTTACCTTGACACCAAAGGTTTTTACATAAAAAAATTTAGTGACTGTATGAGCATTCCTTTCTAGAATTCTGAATATATAAACAATGATATCAGAAATAAATAGTATATCTTAAAGCATTAGTAACAAAAAATCATTTTATTGCAGCTCACCAATACTTAGATGTGGTGGCTGCATTGGTTTTCTTTTTTTTAAATGCTTTTTTTCCCCCCTTTACTTTGACCTGGTAATCAGGCCAGTAAGTCTTTCATTTTTTTCAGCATCCTTTAAATGGTTAGTTCACCTTTACCAAAAACCTCTATGCAGATAAGGGACATCTGTAGATGAAAACAAACTTTGCAGCCATGACTAAAGCTGAATAATGTGCTTGCAATAGGTGTAGGCCTTTTACATACCTTGTGATGCCTACACCTATAGCAAGAGCATTAACTCAACTTTAGTCAAAGCTGCACAGTTTTTCTTTATCTCCAAACACCCCCTTACCTGCGTAGGCAGTTTTTTTGTAAAGCTGGGTGAACTAACCCTTTAACAGACCAAGCTGTCAAGCAAAATTGGCAGTTAGAAGGTTCAAATAAGCTTCCTCTGATCAGCTGAGTTAGAAATCGTGTTGTCATCAACCTACTCCTCCGTCTCAGCCAATCAGAGGAAGCTTTGTATTTATTCACAGAATACAAAGCATCCTATGAATGGCTGAATGCCACTCAGATCGACTCTGCAATGTTCTGGATGTAAGACAGGAAGTCTCTGTCTCACAGCCGGAACCCAGCACTGTGTACTGTATGGAGCTGAAGCTATATGAATTTTATACAGCGCTTACAGACATTGCAACACTTAGTGAAGGAAATACCTGTAGTTTGTTAGGAACAGCTTGGTCCAAACAAACTAAAGTGAAAGGAAACCTGGATATCAGCTTTAATGCTCCTTTAAGACCTGTGATAATACATGAGAAATGTAAAACATGCCTTTTTGTATTTTGTAGTGCAAAATCACATGCGACCATCTAACAGTCTCCATTTATAGTGCTCTATTATTATGATTATATAGTGCCAACAGCTTGAACAGCGTTTTTACAACAGGAGGGCAGACAGAACAGTTACAATACAATTCAATACAGGAGAAATCAGAGAGGCCTGCTCGCTAGTTCTTACAATATAAAAGGAAGGGTCAAGTGATACAAAAGGTAATAACAGTGGGGGTTGAGCTGGTGGAGAAAAAGGAAATACAATTGTTAGGTGGAGGCGGGATAGGCTTCTTTGGAAAGAAGGGTTTTCCGCAATTGTGGGACTGATCGAGGTAGGTTGTTCCAGAGGAGAGGAGAGGCTCGGGAGAAGTCCTAGAGGCAAGCATGGGAGGAGGTGACAAGTGAGCTAGAGAGCAGGAGGTCTTAGGAGGAATGAAGAGAAACATTTGGTTGGTATTTTTAAACTAGGCTAGTAATGTAGCTGGGGGCAGAATTGTGGATAGTTTGTAAATTGATATGTGTAGCGTGTTGGCAGTTGTAAGTTGTTAGTATTTTTAATTTAATTTGTTGCCTGATTGGAAGCCAGTGGAGGGATTTGCAGAGAGGGGTAGCAGACACTGATTGGTTGCTCTAAAATCGAACCTATAATTTAATGGTTTAAAGTGTATATATGGACAAAATAAAAATGTACATATGTAGAAAAGCAGGAAGTATAGAAAAATGCCTGCTGATCTGCCAGAAATCCACGTGCTCCTAAATTCCTATTTAAGCTAATAAAAAAAAAAAAAAAAAAAAAAAAAAAAAAAGTTTCTTTGATGCTCTCCTCATCTCACCAAGTACGAGTTGTTCTATAGACCAGAATGTACTTAGTCATGGCTGACATCATCAGTTCAGTTCAGCAGAGGCATTATGTTGTCAGCTCAAACAGGAAGTTAGGAGAACACTGATTTTCTGATAGATCAACAGACAGTTTTCTGTGCTTGCAGCCTTTTTTTTTAGCAAGGCAAAACACGTATTGTAAAAGATGAACTAAACGTCTTGCCCAGATAAATACTTTAGGCTCCATGCAAACTGGGTGTTTTAAAAATGCTGGTAACGTTAGCTGTCTAAAGTCACGTTAAAAACATGAGGTTTTTAACCTTTTTTTTCTCGTTTGCATCGTTTCACTTTTTTTGACCAAAAAAAATCCCCATTTTTTTTTTTAGTCAAAAAAAGTCCAAAAATGCTGGTTTGCCACGATTTACAGTGTTTTACTACGTTTTTTCAGCATTAGAGTGTTTTTCCAGCTAAAAAACTCCTCTAGAAACCCACTAGTTCTGGGGTTTTTTTCCAGCTAAAAAACGTCCCTGCCAAAAAACGTTGCTTACAGTCTATGTGTGCATGGACACATAGGATAACATGCTGGGGGGTTTACTGGCTGTAGAAGAAAACCAAAAACCGCAGCTGTAAAAACGTGCAGAGTGCATGAGGAATAGGGAATGTGTTACTAAGAAAGAACATATGTAAGACAGGTAAGACACCGATTAATTTTTTTAGTTACAAAGGTTTTTGCACAATCCTGAAGGGTATGTATATGGCAGCTCTAGAATAAGCAGCCGTGAGAAAGTTAAGTAACACCAGGAATCAAACAAACATTCTTCAGACCTCACAACTACTGAACACTGTAAAAAGGATACTTATTATTATATTATTATTATTATACAGGATTTATATAGCGCCAACAGTTTGCTCAGCACTTTACAATATAACAGGAGACAATACAACAACCATACAGTTCAATACAAGAGGGTTAGGAGGGCCCTGCTCCTTATTTAAAAAAAGACTAATACCCAAGCACTATGGCTACTAGTAAGCTTTTATGGCAAATTATTATTTTTTTTCCTAGTGTGTGTTTACATGTTTTGGTTAGTATCTCTTTAAGGAGACACACTGACATTACAGATCTGTTGTCTGATGTTTGACGAATGATCGTCCAATTTTTTATTTTCTTTTGCATGCTATGTATTTTATTTTATTTATTTCAGGTACTTATATAGCGCTGTCAATTTTACGCAGCGCTTTACATATATATATTGTACATTCACATCAGTCCCTAACCCTCAAGGGGCGTACAATCTAAAGTCCCTAACTCACATTCATACATATACTAGGGTGAATTTAGACAGGAGCCAATTACCTACCAGCATGTCTTTGGAGGGTGGCAGGAAACCGGAGTACCTGGAGGAAACCCATGCAGGCACAGGGAGAAAATGCAAACTGCAGGCAGGTGGTGCCGTGGTTGGGATTCGAACCAACGACCCTAGTACTGCCAGGAGGAAGTGCTAACGATTTAGCCACTGTGCTGCCCATTGAAATGCTAGGGGGTGTTTTTCAAAGTGATTTTTCAGCAAAATATAACCTGGAGACATGAATGGATGGATGATGCTAGTCTTGAAAGTGAAGAGGTTACTACAGTTATGAAAATTCTTGTACAACAGACAGAAAATTTGGAAGTAATGTAATGTAATGTATGTGTACTTGTCCCCTTATCAGATTTGCATGCGATCGCTTGGAAAGCGGTATTTTTTGTACGATCTTCTGATTGTGTGTACTAGGCTTAAAGTGGTTGTGAAGACTCAAGGTTTTTTACCTTCATGCATTCTATGCATGAAGGTAACAAACCTGTGTGCAGCAGTGCCCCCAGCCCCCTCAATACCTACCTGAGCCTCATCGAAATCCAGCGATATGAACAGCCTTGGCTGTCCCGGGTCTCTGCCTCCTCATTGGCTGAGAGAGCAAATGGGAGCCATTGGATCCCACTGCTGTCAAATCAGCCAGTCAGCCAATGAGGAGAGGGGGGGCGAGGCCAAGCCACTCCGTGTGTGTGTGAATGGACACACAGAGCAATGGGTGCCCCCATAGCAAGCTGCTTGCTGTGGGGGCACCCAACAGGAGGGAGGGGAGAGCCTGCGGGGGACCTGAGAAAAGGAAGATCCAGGCTGCTCTGTGTAAAAACCACTGCACACAGTAGGTAAGTATAGATTTATTTGTTATTTTCACAAAAAAAATATATATAACCTTTAGAATAGCTTTGAGCCTTTGCCAGAAGCTTTATTATTCTCGCTCCTTGCAGTGGACAATAAAGATGGCATTTTACCAAATTCTGGTTACCGCATACACTATCCTCCAACTGAATGCTGACAAAGGTCTCAATGAACAGCAAAATGTACCAACAACTATGTAATGGGAGTGTCAGCTACATATTTATTTAAAATTTTATCTGATCACCCATTCTTTCTTCCCCCAACACCCAGCCCATATATGATAACATTGAGAAAATCCTGTACAGGGAAACCAGGAAGATCGTTCTTGCAGGAGCACCAGTGTACTGACTCTCTATGTTGCCTGGGCACTCAGAGGTGTGTGTGTGTGGCGCTGACCCCAACGATGAACCCGAAATAATTTTGCAAAAAAACAAACACAGCGATATTTCTTACACAATGTTTCCAAATGTAACTAATATTGGGCAAGTAATAATTTTAAACTAAAATGTAAACGTATGATTACAGTCCCATTTTATTTATGGATTAGTGTTATATGATCTGCAAATACAATCAGAATTCTTTAAAGACTAATGGTGAAATAAATGGATCCAGTACATTGCCTTTCATCATTCTATCAGTAGCCCAAATATGTCTCTAATTAAAAACACATACAATATGTAACTTATGAGTCTAAGAAGTACTGGGTTAATTAGGGATGGGTAGCTGAAAGCACAGGGTCCCATTCCATATGATAAATGGAGAGCTAAAGTTCTCTAGAAGGAAACACATACCTGGAATGAAAGGGGCCATGCTGTTCAGACTCGATGGTGCCATATAGCTTAGGACAGACAGGCTGGGGATGTCTATGCAGCCTCAACGTGGAGGAATTTCACACAACTTGACAATATTAAACAGCTGCTGTAAAACTTTCTGTTGCTGAATACTAATGGGTGACTATTTATGCTTCATATTCCTCTAGATAGTAAGATTTCCACTTGGACAGCTAGAGACATTTAAGCACTATTAGAACACCCCTAGACGTTTAGCTCTCTTGGCAGCAGAAAAAAGCTAAACGTGGCAAAACGCATTTAAGTGCAGTACAGCATTTAGCACTTGGATGTTTATTCATTTGATTGGCCAGAGAATTTTCCAGTGACACAAATAAACGCCCAATCACTAAAAGCGACTAGTGGTTAGACGTATTTACGCCTCATTTAGCGTTTATTTTTTTTGCCAAAATGTTCCTCTCCTGAATGTGATTCTTCTGCATTAAGAACGGGAACGTTTAACTGCCCCTAAACTCTGGTAAAAGCCTATATGTACACCAAAACATAGGCTTTTATTGAGTTGAGTTGAGGGGCTTTGGCAAAAAGATGCCTAAAGCTCCTGAACGCACGTTTAAGAGCAGTGTACATGAGGCCTTAGACCTAAAAACATCACTTTAACAAAACAAGTCAACTTCCACCATCCCCTGCATTTGGCAGCATGGTATTACCAAGCATATGTGTCTCATGACACATATCCCATGCTGCATTTCTATTCCGCCAGGCTGAGAAGAAAAGTGGCAAATTTTAGCCAAAAATGTGCTACATTAACCCTCAAAAATACCTACTTACCTTTATGCTAGGTTGACACTAGCCTGCAAACTGCGTCATATCTGTTCTTGCACCTGCAACCACTTTCAGCCATATCACGCTGTTCTTGTGAGAGGTGTGGGGCTGCTATTCATTCTGAATGGCACCCCCACGCATCCCAGCTTGAAGTGCGATCGTGGGTGTGAACACAGGGAAACCACACTGTCAAAAACACCAAGCAGTTTCCCGGTGGATGCGTTTTTGACGAGGTGCATGCACCTTTTTCTTGCATGAAGCATGGGCACAGCAGCCCATTCAAATTAATTTGAATAGGGCTGCTGTGCCTGTGCAAACATGGGCCTGCTTATTTCATATTGCATCAATTACAACATTTAGGAGAAACTATACTCTTAGTCGACATTAACCATTTTTAATCCTTAGGCTGCTGCATTGGTAAATACAGATAAAAAAGGTATATTTTTACATTTCTTCTGTTGCCTCCTGGTTTCCAGCCTAGGCCAAATCAATCTCATACATCCCAGAGTCTTCGTGGGCATTTTCTTCTGAAGGAGGGGAAGAGGGGCTCTAAACTCTGTACACCCTCCTGTCTGCACGCCTGGGTCAAGGACAGATGGATTACAGGAAGTAAATGCTACATAAATCTGCTCTTACTCAAGATGGCTGCCACTAGAAGTGCTAGGGTTTTTTTTTTCAAAATTATTTCTCAAGAAAATAAAGTTTGGAAACATGAATGGATGGGTAAATTTGTTCTGAAAATTAAAAATGAATTAAACAGTATTTTCAGTTTTTGATGCTTTAATACAGTTACGTTCTGCTTTAACACTAACCAGCAATCCGGTATATAGTATAGTATTTAGTGACTACAGAAAGCTGTCAAAACAATTATTAAATGTAGGATTAGAAATAGGTTTGAAAGCTCCAACCGAAAGATTTTTTTTTCTTTTGTTCTGGACAAAGAGGGCAAGGTTTAAAAACCTTTGTCAGGTTCAATTTCATTCACTTTTCATGTAGGTAACAATGCATAGTTGTCTTCTAATAGAAAGATCCTGATTGCAATAAGCAGCAATTAGTCTCAGTGGCTCTACCAGGTCCCAATGAGGGGTATTACTTTAACTTGTGCCTGTTAGTGAGAGCTGTAGCCCAGCACTAAGACCAGTAGCTGAAGCAATCAACTCCTGGGCTGCAATCCTTTCTAATCTACAAGGCCACTTTTTGTGAGCTCAAGCAGGCATGTATAGAAATGGTGCGATCAGCCTCCCCCTGCAGCAACAGAATACTGATTTCAGATAACAGCTCTATAAGGCTTCATGTACACGAGCAGCTCCTAAACTCAAGTTTAGGAGCTTTTGGCATTTTTTTGCCAAAGCTCCTAAACTCAACTGCATAAAAGCCTGTGTGTCCATGTACACATAGGCTTTTAAACAGAGTTTAGGAGCTGCTGTGTTTAGGTGAGGTTAAACCTCCCTTTCCTGAATGCAGAAGAATCGCGTTCAGGATAGGAACGTTTTGACCACCGACCACGGGAGCACCGCGTTTTTGTCAGGATTTGCATTTACTGTGTGAGCTTTAAACACTCATGTAAGCATGCTCAGTGCCATTCAGAGTTTTTGCAATTACAAACCATGAAAATGGTTACATGCAAATGCCTGCCCATGAAAATTACTTGATTGACAGTAATTTGGAGGAGGAGCAGAAAAGTGCCTTCTGTGTGTAATCCACTATGCACATTTTATGAATAAAGGGATACACATGTGCATTGGCGCAGAGAATGGGATCGGTAGCCACCAGCAGTGACTGGCAATGCCTTCTGAGGGTGCGCTTCTATACCTGGAAGTTCAGGGATGCGCCATGTCAGAAGATGAAGGATGCAGCTGTCAACTGACTAATGAGTAAGTGAATTTTGTTGGCAAAAATTATTTCCCTGTGCTAGTTGCGGTGTGCTGCTGTATAATGTGTAACTCAACTTAAAATACTAATAACAGCATACAAAGCCACTCAGAACTCCGCTGTAATCTACGTCACCAAACTCATCTCAAAATATCACTCAAACCATCACTCCTCCCAAGATCTCCTGCTCTCTTGTTGCCTCATCACCCTCTCCCATGTTCACCTCCGGGATTTCACCAGAGTCTCCCCCATCCTCTGGAACGCCCTACCCTAATATGTCCAGCTTTCTCCTACTCTGTCTTTAGAGGATGCCCTAAAAAAATTTCTCAGGAAGCCTATATTGCCTCTACATAAAAACTGAACTTTCACTTAACTCAGCTCACCCCTCTTATTTTTAGATTGTAAGCTCAAACAAGCAGTGTCCCTAACCCTCTTGAATTGTATTGGATTGGATTGTAACTGTGCACCCCGTCACAAAAAAAAAAAAAAAAAGGGAGAGTGTACAAACTGCTGGTGCTATATAATTTCATTATAAGAATAAAAATAACTTCACTTTTCTTGAGAAAAAAAATCCCATATGGATGTCCAATGTACATTGCAAGGTTTTTAACAAGCTTTGTAATTTTTTTCTGTTCTGGTGAAAAAGCTTCACTCTCTCCATTTCCAGGCTGATTGCTGAATGGGAGGGTCTGTGTTCATTATAACCAACTCATGCACTTTCAGTATTTTAATGAGAAAGTTGCATTGTCTGTATCCCTGTATATGTAGTTTTTGGCAGTATCTTACAAAAATTTAAATTCCTACTTGCATCTTAGCACTGATGAGTGAGAAAATAAGTGAGGCTATCACAGAAGGAAGAAATTACATTTCTGGGGGATTGCCATACACCTGTGGGGAACAGAATGCCTCCAGGTTGTGATATTGCATTGAATTTTCAGAAATATGTAGAAAATAACAACCATGATAATTTTAAGAACATTAAAGCGGAGCTCCAGCCAAAAGGGGAAGTTCTGTTTTAAGGACTGCTCCCCCGCTCCCCATTAAGGATTGGCACCTTTGGGGGGCAGGGGGAGGGAGCGGTTACTCGAATTTGACAGGTACCCGCTCCCACTTCCGGTCCGATCGCCTAGGTGATCGGAAATGGAAGGTGTCCTCCCTCCCTGTAGTCTTTTGGGACACGTGACAGATCCCAGAAGACTATAGGACCATTCATGAAGCGCAGCGCTACTTGCGCATGCGCAGTGGGTATCCCGGTTGTGAAGCTGCAAGCTGTCACAACCGGGTGCCCACAATGAAGATGCTGGCCTCCTGGAATACAGGATGGCCAGTGAAATGGGCTGCGGGGGACACAACGCGGGACCGAGGGACAGGTAAGTGGCTGTTTTTTAAAAGTCATCAGCTACAGTTTTTGTAGCTGCTGACTTTTATTTTTTTTCAGGGTGAGTGGAACTCCACTTTAAATTAAAAAATAGATTGTGTAACTATTTCATATGCCAATTTGTTTCATGAGTGGAGTTCTCCTTTCATAGAAAGGCTTTTGTACTACTTTAAATCTCTTGGCTACTCCAGTGGTGTAGAATCTGCACTTCTATCAAACTGCTGTGGCCTATGCAAAGTCAGATGATAGTGTCACACTTCCCCAAAGGATTCATAAGACAGCATAAACAAATAGAAATTTCTGCCCTCACTGTGGATCAACCATAAACTAAAGCTTTGCTTCAAACAGAGTTTACATTTAGGGGTCATTCACCCAGGCCTTCATCCTCAGAGAGTGGTAAGAGCCCTATGTTTACTTTTCTGTCCTAGTGCTGAGCTGCAAGCAGGCAGTCCATATTAGTGAATGAACACACACCAACTACACTGATTGATCCGCACATCCATGTTTGATAGGTACGCATGGATGGCTGCACAGCTCTGCATACATAAATTCTGTGTGACAGTGTCTGTGCACACGTCCCTGCATACCTGTGTGCATGGACCATGATGTGTGCCAATGTGTGTCCATTCACTATTATAGGCTGCCTAAATGCAGCTCAGTGCTAGAGCAGAAAATAAACCAAGGGCTCTTCAAGCAGTACACAGCTGAGCACCTGAGTGAATGAGCCCTATGAAGTGTACCAATAGCTAAATACCTTTAGATAAAGTGAGAGGTTAAATTAATGCCAGGCCACCATTTTCCTTGCACAGATGATATACAAGTCTCTCTCTATGCTGAAGTATAGTCACCTCAGCGAGATATAGTGGCATGTTGTGGATCATGTTACAATTGTGGAATTGTGGTGAAGTGTAAATGGGAGGACCTATATGTTCCATAAGTACGGGATATGTCCCTATAGATGCCTGGTCCTGTCTTTAGGTGTGTGAGGACCTTGTATGTGTTTCTATATTGGGACCACTTTAAACACTACTTGTGTCTCCCCTTTCTTGGTTTGTTTGTTGGCTCTACTGGCAATAATTGTCCTTTTACGAGACTGGACCATCTGATATATGTTTTGGTGTGGATCCAGAAGAAGTGAACTAATTGCGAAACGCGTTGATCTTAGACGACATACATATATTTACAATGTGAATCATGTTGGAACTTATAGGTCATATTTTGAGTGTGAAATATACTCTATTATATTATACATTTTACATATCCCTCACCCTGCATAGTCTGGGTTGAGTAGTTCTGAGGTTAGAAGAGGTGAAATTCACATTGAGTTTCTTGGGAAGCATTGTCACCAAGCAGAAAGCAATAATAATCTAATGGTGATGTTGAAAAAAAGAGATCAGGAGATTTTCCAACTGAATAATTTGTTCCAGCAACACGTTCTAGTGGGGGGTTCCCCTTAATTTGCATAGACTTGCTCACACTTCCTGTTCTGTTTTAGAACCAGAAGGTGAAGAGAAATCTCCCCAACAGCACACACAACAAAAAATACAGACAGAACTTTTAACTATTCTTTAATTTATCTTTTACAGCCCAAAAAAAAAGGTTTTGATAAAAAAAGAAAACAAAAAAAGAACATTACATGCTATTATATGTATGTACTACAGTGAATAACTATAAAATATCTGAAGGGAACCAGGCTGCAAAGAGGCCAAATAGTCAACAGTTGTCAAGCATAATCACTACTAACTTATAAATTCAAAAATGTAATAAACAACCTTTAAAACAAAATTGCAGGATATAAAAAAATGTGTTGTATGCCTCATGTATGGTTTAGATATATTTTTTAATGATCCACCCTTCCATTCATTGAACTTTGATATGTTCTGATGAATGAAGTGCCCACAATATCACCTGCATTTATTGTTATCAGATAGCGGACTTTCATCTCATGAAATCTGGCAATCTCTATGAATGCTGCAAGCTGCCTCCAAGCAATTGGGCCAAGTCCTGCTGGAACACCAGTGAGCAGGCTCAGTTTGCACCAGCCTTTTCCCCACAATCACATTCATTAGTGCTTCTCCTGGCATAAATCAACAGAGAATTACAGTCAATTGGATTAGAGCTCAATCCCTTTGTAAAAACCTTCCTGTTGACACATGTGAACATTGATTTGAAAGAGAAATAGTCCAATCCAGTATGGAAAGTTACACAGCGAATGACAGCTCAGTCAGGATCTGGTCTTGCAGGGCATGAAGGATTCTGACTGACGCTGCTCTGCTTTGAAAATCATTTGCCCCGATGAACCCTGAGGGATGAGTTATGGCACATCATCTAAAATGATTTATTGCAAAGAAATAATTGCTCAGCTTCTGGCATGTGACATTTCCACAGTTCTCTCCCTGCTGCCAGATTGGGTGGTTTCTAATATGTTCCAGATCAGGCACTAGACGTGCAATTCCTTTGTCAAGAAGGTTTGGCCAGATAAAAGGAATGCCAAACAACTATCTACTTATCTTACATGATGCCTGCTTCAGGAGGACCGTTCACTAAACAAAGGGGCAGAGGAGTAAATGTTATTTCAGCCATCCCAAACAACTAGTCACATCAGACTTGCATCCCAAACCTCAATATACGATGTATAAATGTTAAAAGAGAAGTATGGCTTTTTCCCCTTATTTATACTTACCTAGGCAGATGCAGCATCGGTCCAATGCAGCATCTGTTCCCCCGCCACTCTAAGGGTGAGAACGCAGCGATCACGTGACCACTGATCACTGAGTTCTCCTCTCTGCTCTGAGCGGAGAGCGGGACTGTCGGTTACTACTCTCTGCTCAGCCCCCCCAGCGCTCACTGGAGTGCTGGGCTGTGGAGGGGGAAGAGACTCTTAGCCTGAGCGAAATACTAACAGATAGTATTTGGAAGGCATCCTGGCAAAAGTTTCAACTGAAACTGTGAGTACATGAATGTATATTGGTTAGAAGGTTGCTTATCTATGCATGCACTATATGCATAAAGCAAATATTGTTTGCATACATTTGTATCTAGAAGTTCTGTTGAATTATAATTAACAGCCATCTATCATAGAGATGATTGAGATTGATTGATATAATTACATAGTTAGGTTAAAAAAAAGACACAAGTCCATCTATTTCAACCAATAGAAAGAAAAATATGGGAAACCTTCACATACAGAATCCTACACCCACAGTTGATCCAGAGGAAAGCATAAAAAAACTCTAAAAACAATGGTCCAATTTGCTCCAGTGGGAGAAAAATAAATTCCTTCCTGATCCTTGAGAAGAGGATCAGATATTTCTTGGATCAACAATCGCTGGCATTATTACTTATAAATGTTAATATCCAACTATATTTAACATCCCCCAGGTTAGTTAGGTAGCTTTTTGTTAGATAGAGGCAGAGTAGCAGCCTGAGGATGAGTCAACCTCGGGAGTGAGGTTACCTCAGTACAGAGTGGGAGGCTCTAAAAGATCAGGGCTTCTAGGGCCCTCCTGCCTTCCGAGAAACTTGAGAGCTTTCTGGAAGTGGGGTGAAGGAGGGGAGGAAGCACAGATCTGCATGTTTGAGGGACCCTGCCGAATCTCCTGGTAGGAGGCTGGGCAAGCTGACCAGCAAAACCCTCAAATGTGGCAGAGTCTGGGGGGTGGTGTGCAGTGTCGGGTGGAAGATATATTGAGAAAAACTGGAGTGAGGAGCCTGGGAGGCAGCCCCCGAATGGGGGACCTACCTACAGGCAGGTCGTTGGAGAAGAGGATTTCCACTACCTCAACGTCTCCAGGAGAGGACAGCCTGTGTAGCAGGGAAGAAGCTAGATCAGCGTAAGGCATGAAGGCAGCCACCAACCCACTAAGCTAACAGGAGAGGACAGTGTGAGTATGCTTATACCCCCTGGCCCAGATAATGGGAGAGGGTGGTAGGGTGCAATACCCAACTAGCTTCTCATCTGAAACTGTTCAATTGGCAGCTCTTGGGTCCCCTTGCTCAGAGATACCCTCAGGCAGCTGGGTGAAGAGAAGGAATCATCCAGGGTTTGAGGAGGTACACCTAAGAGCCTTTAGTGCTCTTCAAGAAAAGACTGTTGCTAATCCGAATCTCTGTACTTAGCTGGTAAGGAGTTGTCCTCAAGTTCTACAGTTCCTCGGGTATCTTATATACCCCTAGATCCAAGTTTGACCCCTCAATAAAATCACAAAACCAAGCTTGAGGACTGTTTACTGACTCCAGTGTGCAAAGTGTGGGAAATGTGTTGCCTGGCTGTGCACACCATAAGGAGAGCCAATTCAAATCCAGCAACCTTTACAAGGGTAGCGCTACATATATTTTGTGCGTTTAGGAATGCATCCAGTTTTTTTTTTTTTTTTTTTTTTTTTAAACCATCTACGTAGTTGGCCAGAATTAGTTTTTGAGGGAACCTATTCCACATGTTCACAGCTCTTACTGAAGAAGCCTGTCCATATGTGGAGGTTAATTATCTGCTCTTCCAGATGTAAAGAGTGCCCCCTTGTCCTTTGTGAAAGTCCTGAAAGTGAATAACTGCAACATGTTCACTATATGGAACACTTCTATATTAATACAAAGTTATCATATCCCCCTTAATCTCCTCTCTTCTCAAGAGAATAAATTTGGTTCCTGTAATCTTTCCTCATAGCTGAGCTCCTCCATGCCTCTTATCAGTTTGGTTGCCCTTCACTTTATCTAGTTATCCAATATCCTTTTTTGTGCTCATAAAACTTAACTGCCCATGGTGCCCATAACTGAACTTCATATTCAAGATGAGGTCTTTCTAATGATTTGTACAGGACCAAAAGAGGTCGGTCGGTCTGTCTGTCTCTCTGTCTCTCTCTAGCATCTATACCTCTTTTAATACAAAACAAAGGTATAGTATATGCACACAAAGTACATGAAAACAATCAATGTATGCATTGTACATGCACTGCAATACAGGAGGTACCCGCTCTTCAAAGTGCATCAAAAAGGACATGTAAGATTACAAGTATTTTAAAGGTTAAAAGTTTGGGATCAAAAGGAAACTGAAAACAATGGATTAAAAACTGACTAGACAGGTTTAAAGAGGATTAATACTACAACAATAGCCCAGTCTTTATTCCTTATTTTTATGGCAATTTACAAAAAAAAGGTTCATGTGTACACATCCTTAAAGTAAACCTGTCACAAGGGAAACCTAAAGACTGCCATTACTAACCCTTTTCTTCTGAAAAATGCAAGTTGGCTAGATGCCAATGCAGATTAAGACTTTACTCTGACTTTTCTGATTGAAATACTTAAAGCAACTCAAAAGTAATGAAGCCAAAGGGTGAAGATCATGTGAACAGCAGGCATTTTCAGATGGAAGTCAGCAGTTGGTGAATGTTTAGTCCTACATTGTACATGATGACGATTCATGTACAATGTAGAACTAAACATTCACTGGTGTGCAAGAAAATAGAGGGACGAGGACGCATTAGCAGTGAATGACAGCAGGAAACAAATGCTGTAGCTTGGCATTTTCATTCACAGATTGGTGTGTTTGACACTCCTTGCAGCTAGTTTTTACAGCTGGTAATGGACCTGAGAAGCCACTTCTGCTTCTTTAGAGGCAGAGACAGGCTTTGCACACTGTTGAATGTTTAGTTCTACATTGTAAATGAACGGTCATCATGTACAATGCATCACCTACTGATCCGGATTAGTTTGTGAGGAGCTAAGTGTGCAAGCACAGGCAGGAACACCTTAAAGAGATGGCTTTCGGGGACCTATTGCATAGATGGAGGGAGCCTGCAACGGAGGATATTTTATTTTAGTATCTGATGTACAGTCACTGAGATAGGTAGAGAGAGGAAATCAACTCAAGGTGGGCACAGAGACTGTATAAATAAAAAAAAAAAAAAAAGAGTTGGCAAAGAGTTTAACCCTTCCGTATTCTATTCCACTTAAAAAACAAACAAAAAAAAAACCATAATTACTTATTGCACGTTTACATTTCCTATCCTATTATTTTCCTATAAACAAAAATCAAACATTTTTCATGAGTCATGAATTAAAAGCATAGGTCTGTAATGTCATATATAACTGTAATCACATTGAGTTATGTTATACTCACATTTCGAAGCTTCCGGTTGCAGTCTGAAATCCTGTGAAGAAAAGGAATGTGGTATTAGGCAGATTGAACTGACACTACCTGAAAAAACTGCTGGAATGAAATGTATGTTCCAAGGCATGATCCTCCTTACTTTCCATCTCTTGCCATGAAAGACAATCTGTCAGCTACTCATAATCAAATCGGCCCCTCTATAAAGGCATAAAAGCACTGATGAGAAGCATCTCTTTCCTAGTATAAGTTCTACTTTACCAAGTCAAAATTAGATACTTGCAGTGCTTGCATTTAAAAAAAATATAACAATGCATTTCTGAATACAGAGCTACATTTAAGCGTATCTAAACCCAACAACAAATATGTACTATATTGTACTAAAACAGTCTTTCAAGTTGGTGACTGAATTTCATTATTGCAGCCTTTTTTTTTTAACTTTATTTATACCTGATGTTCCATCCAGTAAACGCATCCTGTCTTAGACTGACAAAGCTAAATTGCTGTACTGGGGTTATTTACTAAAACTGGAGAGTGCAAAAATTTGGTGTAGCTCTGCAAAGAAACCAATCAGCTTCCAGGTTTTATTACTAAAGTTTAATTGAACAAGCTGAAGTTAGAAGCCGATTGGCTACCATGCACATCTGCACAGATTCTGAGTGCTCCAGTTTTAGTAAATCTCCCCCAATGTTTTAGGACTACAAAACACCCCGCACTCAATAACAATGGGTAGTTTTGTAGTCCTAACACGCTTCCTGCTAACTTTTTGTTTGAGATAACATTACAGACTGCACAAGACAAGGAAATCACTGTATTTTTCAGCACTTATAGAAACATTAGATTTAACAAAACGTTTCAGTGTTTTATTAATGGACCAAAAATAAGCAAACGAGACATTCATTGTTAAGCCCCTTTCACAAGGAGGGTTCGATCATGTCTGCCAAGCAGTTTTTCAACCCTCCATTTACCTCTATAGACCAGCTGGTGTTAAGGGCCATGTGTCCGTTTACACCCACCTACCTTCAATCTGATCCGGTCCACTAAAAAAAACTAGAAGGGGATCGGTCTCCCTCTGTGTAGGCGGATCGAAACAGAGGGCAGTCAGATGTAAACGAACAGCGGCCCATAGAGCAGCATGGGCTGTGTCTGTCAGTTTTGCAGAAATGGAGTGGACACGGACCTGTCATCTACCTGCTCGGCTCTGATGAGCAGGGGCCCAACAGACAGATATCCTACTGATCTAAACAGAGTCTGTCCTGTGTGAAAGGAGTTCAACTGCAAAAGACAGGCAAGCTAAAATATTACAAAGAATTCATACAAATAAGCAAATATTCTCTTACAAATGAAGGCATTAGGGCCTTTTCTCCTGTCAGCAGCATTTTGGCAGAAAAAACTACTGACGCTTGTAAAATCGTATAGCGCTTTTAGGCCCGTTTAGAGGCATTAATTTCATTGACCAGAATAATCATTTATTCTGGCCATTGAAATAAATGAATGTTCAAGCACTAAACATACCTAACGTTAACATGCGTTTAGGCTGGTTTGAAAGCGTTAAGCGTTTTTTTTCTGTCAAAACTCTGCTGCTCTTGGATACACTGGCAGTGGTGGGGGGGGGTTCTGCCTCTAAAAGTCCTGCTACTAAAAACACTGCTAAGGCCTCATGTACACATGAACTTCCTTAGACGTTTAGCTCTCCTGGTAGCAGAAAACCGCTAAAACGCATCAAAAACATGTGTAAATGTGGCACTTTGTTTAGGCGCCTTTAGGCTTGGAAGTTTATTCATTTGATTGGCCAGAGTATTTTACATTGACATGAACAAACACCAAAGCGCTAAACGTGGCTAGCGTTTAGACGTGTTTACATGCATTTTTGCCACATTTAACATTTTTTGGCCAAAATGTTCCTCTCCTGAACGTGATTCTTCTGCATACAGGAGAGGGACGTTTAACTGCCCTAAAACTCTACTGCTCCTAAGCTCTTGTAAAAGCCTATGTGTACATGGACACAGGCTTTTACTGAGTTGAGTTCAGGGGCTTTGGGAAAAAAAAACGCAGATTTGGAGCAGCAGTGTACATGCAGGGGAGTATAGAGATAGTGAAAAAATGACTGATGCCACAAGAAGCAGCTGAAAAACTGTCCACTGTGCATGAGGCCTAACATGATTAATTCCTCCTGTTGGAGAGACTTATTGGTCCTCATTCTTTCAACAAAGGGGAAAAGTCCCTTAGCAAATCAGAAAGCATGCAGCCAGGAGACAGATTCCTTTCATCCTCATTAACATAATTTAGCATAATTATTTTTTTGGGAACAATTACCCACCTAACTGTTGTTCTGTTCAAAGTGTCCTGCAGATCTCCTGGGTCAAACAGCTGGGATTCTTTTAGGCCAAGCTCTTTACAGCCCCGTAAAAATAATGTCACATTATCCTGTAATGATAAAAATGGACAGATATAAATGCTGATATAAAATAAAGATATAATCAGTCATCACATGTTTAATTTAAAATAAACCAGGAATGTGAAATCCTAGAAGACAGGAAAACAATGCAACTAAAAACCTACAGAGGACCTCTAACCTTGTCCTAAAACGTCCCTTTAAATAACATGATACTGCCATATAATTACAGGAACAGAAATCCAGCCAAAAAATGTTTTTTCCCCCCAGTTTTGCAAAGAATGGGAAAGTATTAAAATTGTTGTCTGGATTTACTGGTATCTGTGTCCACATTGGGGAGATACAGTATGTCTATATACGGAAGGGCTTCTTCACAGTAAGAGCTGTGAAAATGTGGAATAGGCTCCCTCAATAACTAGTTCTGGCCAGTTTGGGAGATTGTTATAAGAGTTGGATGCACAAAATTAAACTGTATAATAATGCCAGGGATACTTTATCCAGGGAATATCTGAATCCCCCCTGGAGGATCAGGAAATAATTGTTTTTACCTGCTGGACCAAATTGCATAATGCTTTATTGAGGTTGTTTTGCTTTCCTCAGGATCAACTGTGGGTATAGCATTGTGTATATGGAGGTTTTCTACTTTTCTTTCTCTATTGGTTGAGCTAGATGGACTTGTCTTTTTTCTACCTGACTATGTAATTAATTACTGTGTGTTTACCAAGTCAGGAAGTAAGCAGAATCTCTCTAATAGGGACACAGAAAGCATTTAAAGTACTCTTTTTTAAGTACTTTTTTTTTTTTTTTTTTTTTTTTTAAACAGTGTGGGAACAGCTCAGTGCCAGCCCCTGCCAGGTGACTCACCCTCCTGTCACTTCCTGTATGTTCCCAAGGACAGGAAGTGACAGGACATCTCTCCAGTGGGGGTCAGAAACCAGTCATGACAAAGGTTCTAATCTTTCTCCATTCTACCTAATAGCTTAGCTAGAATTTTACTTTAATCTCCTCAAACATGTATATGTATTTTGCTTCATTTACAATTTACAATTAAGGGATTTTCTTCAAATAGCTAAAACAAGGAAGCACGAAATGGGTTATACAAATTAAATGCTTTTTTTTTTTCTTTATTTTCTTAACAGTGTAAGAAGCTTATAGGTTTATGTAACAGGCCTAAGAAGAGCTGAACGGAAACATCTAGTAAATGCAAGTCATAGTCAAGTTATAAGTAGATGACCATTTCCAATAAGACATTCAAGTGAAAGGTTTGGGTTACACTAACAGAAGAATTCCACAGGAGAAAAAAAAGAAAACAAAAATATAAAAAAAAAAAAAAAAAAAAAAAAAAGAAAAGATGTGCAACATTCCCTAGATAACCTCCACTGAGTACCGGTGAATTGGGATTGTCAAAGAAGGGAACAAAAGGGCCAGGAATAAATTACTTTACAATAATCTCTGATGGCTCCCAATAAAACCAAACCTGTGCTTTTGTTTTGGAAAAATCCCTAAGGAATTAGAACCCCTGTCAGATATTTACAACTATCTGCATTACCAAATGTCACAGGGACTAAAAGTGATGGAAAATCCAAAATGTTAAATTGTCACCAGAGCAGAAACAGAGGAGAAATCTTTCAATAGGGTCTGGTTATCATACTGATCAAATTAATTCAGTAAATGCTTGAGACACATTTGCAAATGAGGAGTTCTGACTTCACCAAATTCTGACTAATTTGCATCACACAAGCATCAAAATGTCACACATCAAATCATCTTACATATACACTTTATTCACTAGGCTGGTCCACACTAATCCCCACCTGTGATGTGTTTCACCCAATAAGACCTTAATTACAGTGGATATAAAAAGTCTACACACCCCTGTTAAAATGTCAGGTTTCTGTGATGTAAAAAAACGAGACAAAGATAAATCATTTAAGAACTTTTTCCACCTTTAATGTGACCTATAAACTGTACAACTCAATTGAAAAACAAACAAACTTTTAGGGGGGAGGGACTAAACACAAAAAAACTAAAATAATGTGGTTGCATAAGTGTGCACACCCTCTTATAACTGGGGATGTAGCTGTGTTCAGAATTAAGCAATCACATTCAAAATCATGTTAAAGCGGAGTTCCCACCCAAAAGGGGAAGTTCCACGCTCCCCATTAAGGACTGGCACCTTTGGGAGCGGGTACCCGACTTTGACAGGTACCCACTCCCACTTCTGCTGTGATCGCCTAGGCCAGTGGTCGGCAAGCCGCGGCTCGCGAGCCACATGCGGCTCTTTACACATTTTAATGCGGCTCTTCTGTGTGCCGGGCGCTCGCTCCCCTCCCCTCCCTCCTCTCCCCTCCTCCCCTCCCCCTCCCCCTCCCCCTCTCCCCTCCCTCCTCTCGGGCGGCCACTCCCCTCCCCTCCCTCCTCTCGGGTGGCCGAGGACTCTGCAGCTAGCCCAGCAATGATTGGCCAGTCTCGCTGCCACTCACATCCTGATAGCTAGTGATTGGCTGTCAGGATGTGTGTAGGCGGGGCAGCGTGACGAACGTGAGGGGAGCTAGGCTCCTCTCACAGTCCGCCCTGAAGACCGGAACGGCACGGGGAGCACGGCGAGAGGAACGCGCGGAGCAAAGGTAAGTGAATTGACACAGGAGGGACTTGACTTACTACTTGCTACTTACTTACTACTACTATATGAGGGATGAATTAATATGGGGGATGAATTACTATGGGGGATGAATTACTATATGGGGGATGAATTACTATGGGGGATGAATTACTATGGGGGATGAATTACTATGGGGGATGAATTACTATGGGGGATGAATTACTATGGGGATGAATTACTATATGGGGGAGGAATTACTATATGGGGAGGAATTACTATATGGGGGAGGAATTACTATGGGGGATGAATTACTATATGGGGGATGAATTACTATATGGGGGATGAATTACTATATGGGGGATGAATTACTATATGGGGGATGAATTACTACTATGGGGGATGAATTACTATATGATGGGGGATGAATTACTATATGGGGGATGAATTACTATAGGGGGGATGAATTACTATATGGGGGATGAATTACTATATGGGGGATGAATTACTATATGGGGGATGAATTACTATATGGGGATGAATTACTATAAAAACTTATTGAAACTAAAAACAGTGTACCATCCTATGTATTTTCAGTTTTAAAAATGTGGCTCTCAAAATAAATTTCAATCGTGGTTTTGGCGAGATTTGGCTCAGTTGAAAAAAAAGGTTGCCCACCACTGGCCTAGGCGATCGGAAGCAGAAGTTGTCCTCCCTCTCTCCCTCCCTGTAGTCTTCTGGGACACGTGACAGGTCCCAGAAGACTATGGGGCCATTCACAAAGTGCAGCAATTCTCACGCATGCGCAGTGGGCACCCGGCTTTGAAGCCGCAAACTGTCACAGCCAGGTGCCCACACTAAAGATGCCGGTGCCAGGGAGAGAAGATGGCCAGTGGAACCAGCGGTGATCAAAAAACCACTGGACTGAGGGGCAGGTAAGTGGCTGTATTTTAAAAGTCAGCAGCTACAATATTTGTAGCTGTTGACTTTTTTTTTTTCAGCAGGAACTCCACTTTAAATAGGAGTCAGTACACACCATCATTTAAAGTGCCTCTGATTAACCACAAATAAAGTTCAGCTGTTCTAGTAGGTCTTTCCTGACATTTTCATAGTCGCATCCTACAGCAAAAACCATAGTCTGCAGAGAGCTTCCAAAGCATCAGAGGGATCTCAAGGCATTAGATATACCATGGAACACACTGAAGACAGTCATCATCAAGTGGAGAAAATATGGAGCAACAGTGACATTACCAAGAACTAGACATCCCTCCAAAATTGATGAAAAGACAAGAAGAAAACTGGTCTGGGAGGCTGCCAAGAGGTCTACAGCAACATTAAAGGAGCTGCAGGAATATCTGGCAAGTACTGACTGTGTGGTATATGTGACAACAATCTCCCGTATTCTTCATATGTCTGGGATATGGGGTAGAGTGGCAAGATGGAAGCTTTTTCTTAACCTTCCTGGAGGTATTCCCGAGTGTAGCTCGGGGTAAAGTTTCAGCACCACAAGCGGTAACCCCGAGCTACACTCGGGATTACCCTGCAGCGCTGCTCCGGGATCCCTTCTGTACTTACCTTGTCCTTCACTCCCGCGATGTCCCCCCTGCAGCGTCCCCGGCCATCTCCTCCGGCCGATGCCAGCATCTGTCTTCCGGGTTCCATTCCCTGCAACGTCAGGACGTACGGTGGGACGGAACGGTGGGAAATTTAAAAATGTCAAAAAGTGACATTCACTAAATACACTAAGATCACACAGTATAACATTACTGTATCAAACCATTTCACATACATTTTGTCCCGAGTGCTTTGTCCTGTGCCCTGCCTGCATTTTTACTGTTCTTTCTGCCTGGAAACTGAGAAACGTCCATGGCATCCAAAAAGCGTCCCTTTAGGTCAAAAGCGGTTTTAGACCAGCTAAAGAACAGTGATAGTAAATTGCAGAATTGAGTGATAATGATTCGTGGGGAAATTCGTCAGACACTGAAACTGATTTTGCGACTTTGCTCAGTGATGTGCGAACTTGGCGCTCTATTTCAAATTTCAGTGTTTTTGGTTTGATTATATTATTGAATTAAATTTATTTTTATAATATTTTTTACGATTATTTATTAAATTATAATTTATGATTTCGTGTTTCACATTTTATCATACCCGGGATGTTTACTAGACTCTTGTTCGGACAGATTTCAGTGAGTTATTCCTAAAAATTACAGTCCTACAATAAAAAAAAATGACATATTTCCATGCAAAAAAATGTACCGCTTTGAGCACAGAAATACTGACATAATCAGACCGCTAAGGAAGTTAAGAAAAACATCCAAACCCAGCTAAATTTTGCAAAAACACATTTGAAATCGTCCAAAAGCATGTAAGAAAATGTTTTATGGTCTGATGAAACCAAGGGTGAACTTTTTGGCCATGATTCCAAAAGATATGTTTGGCGCAACAACACTGCACATCACCAAAAGAACACCATACCCACAGTGAACATGGTAGTGGCAGCATCATGCTTTGGGGCGGTTTTTCTTCAGTTGGAACTTGGGCCTTAGTCAAAGTATAGGGAATTATGAACAGTTCCAAATACCAGTCAATATTGGCACAAAACCTTCAGGGTTCTGCTAGAAAGCTGAACATGAAGAGTAACTGAATCTTTCAGCATGACAACGATCCAAAGCACTCATCCAAATCAACAAAGGAATGGTTTAACCAGAAGAAGAAGAAAGTTTTGGAATGGCCCAGCCAGAGCCCAGACCTGACTCCATTTGAAAATCTGTGGAATGATCTGAAGAGGGCTGTGGACAGGAGATGCCCTCGCAATCTGACAGATTTGGAGTGTTTTTGGAAGGAAGAGTGGGCAAATATTGCCAAGTCAAGATGTGCCATGCTGATAGACTCATACCCAAAAAGACTGAGTGCTGGAATAAAATCAAAAGGTGCTTCAACAAAGTATTAGTTTGAGGGTGTGTACTCTTATGCAACCATATTATTTTTGTTTTTGTTTATTCTTGCTTCCTTCCACCGAAAAGATTTCAGTTTGTTGTTCAACTGAGTTGTACAGTTTATAGGTTTCATTAAAAGGTGGAAAAGGTTCTGAAATGATTTATCTTTGTCTCATTTTGTTTACATCACAGAAACTTGACATTTTAACAGGGGTGTGTGGACTTTTTATATCCACTGTATATGAATATACTATTGCGATGTTCCTGGTGGACATACTAGCAAATAATTGCACTGTTCAGTAATGTTATTATATACAGTATGTATTATTGTGTAAGGGTATCAGACCTTGGATAGATAGTTCAGATCACAGCTGTTTTGCAAAACATACATTTAAAAAAAAAAAAAAGAAACATATTTCTTACATGATCAAACCTATCCTCTCTTGTGTCTATTTAAAAAATGTCTTCCACAAGAGCAAATATTTGATATGCCTACACCTTGAGGGATGTGGGATTCTGCTGCTGATGCCAAGATATGGATCACACTGCTCATCTGTTTAACAGTTAGTGCCCCCCTCTTCACCTGCTGGCCACGAATACTAGGGAGAGATGTGCACAATGCTACATACTGCCTGCAATAATAGTTTTCCAGCATAAATTGAATTATGTTATTTGATTGCCAATCCCCACCTACATCAGCACCCTCTTTACCACCTTCTATGTGACCCTCCATATGGCACAATACATGCTGGGAGTCAACCTGGTCTGTAAGCAGTAATCAAGCAGCTGTTTTAAAGCTGGTACACAAAGGAATTCTGAAAAACTATTTTTAGTAATTGAAACCATATTCAGAATGATATTTCCCAAATTAAAATATAATATTATTATTATTATACAGTATTTATAAGGCGCCAATAGTTCACTCAGCGCTGTACATTACAAAGGGGGACAGAACATGTGACAGAACAACAATACAATGCAAAACATGAGGGGATCGAGGGCCCTGCTCTTTCGAGCTTACAATATAACCATTAATTTCCCATTACCTTTCTTGTGAGACTTGAGTACAGTTTTAAACATTTTGGTCACAAACATGCAAGCTTTGCAGCACTCATGCTTATACCTAATGAAGAGGAAGGGGGAGCAAGCAGACAGAATCAAAAATAGAAGTCTGTGAAAATGCCAAACTTGGCTGACCATACCCTGCCCCAAGACTAGGTGACAGGCAAGATCTGTTGGTAATTAGCCACAAACATAAGGATTCTCACCATTTCCAATCTACAGTGCTGTGAAAAATATTTGCCCCCTTCCTGATTTATTTATTTTCATATTTGTCACACTTAAATAATTCAGATCATCGAACAAATTTAAAAGATCTTAGAAAGCAACACATAATGCCACTATCTAAAGAAATTCAAGAATGGATAGGAAACAAAGTAATTGAAATTATGACTTGTCCTACTGCAGAATAAATCTGGGGCCAATCACATGCCTCCCTGATGGTATGGCGTGATGGACAAGCATCTGCCTATATCTCTCAGCACTATATCAACACCATTGATCCTGACCAAGTCTCCAACTCTATTTGCAGAAATGCAGCCCCAAACTTGCAAGGAACCTCCACCATGCTTCACTGTTGCCTGCAGACACTAGTGTACTGCTCTCCAGCCCTTCGAGAACAAACTGCCTTTTGCTACAGCCAAATATTTCTAATTTTGATTCATCAGTCCAGAGCTCCTGCTGTGACTTTTCTGCACCCCAGTTCCTATGTTTTTGTGCTTAGGACATGGAAACAAGACTAAGCAACTCAATAGTTTCCTATGGTGTGCACTCAGTAGGGGGGGCTAGGAGCACCAGTGGGGGCTACAGAAGAAGAGGATTGGGGTTGCTCTGTGCAAAACCATTGCAAAGAGCAGGTATGTATGACATGTTTATTATTTTAATAAAAAGTTAAAGCTTTACAATCCACTTTAAGACACCTTGGAATCCATTCATGTAGTAGGTCTGGTTGAAATTTTTAAGATCTTTCGAAAGACATTAGTTGACCAAGTGATGGCATAATGGAATGTTCTGACAAAAGATTTTTTAGAATTTTGTGTATATGTTTGAATGAAAAGCTAACCATTTATTGCCAGCTAAAGAACTCCACTTTGTTGTAAGTCCCATTGTATGTCAAAACTGACAATTCAACAACTCACCAAGTTCCATTCAACCAGAGGTCTTGCCACATATTACCCAATTCTACATAAATGTTCCAATGATATTCAGTACTTGAACTAATACCTGTACAATTCATAAAACACTTGACTTTTCTGTTCTGGCCTATAATATATATATGATACTCTAAGTAGCAGAAGCAAAACAAAAAAAATTTTGAAGTAACTAATCTACTCAGGTTTTTCCTTCCTATTATTTAACTTTTCTGTTTTGTCCTGAATGATATTCCTTTAGCCTACTCTACAGGAATATGTTCACATTCCTCATTGTTTAGAATAATGACATTCCAGATGTCATCTTCCCATCTTTAACATTCTTTCTATATGAAGATCAGCTAAACATAGCCATGTAGACATGTGACAACAGCATGGGTGTTATGGGTCGAAAGAAACCACCAAGCTGTCTAAATAGTGTTACTGTGAATCAAAATTCTTGTACTGATGTGTTATGTAGATTACTGACCCACCAACATCCACATAATCTAAATGCTTGTGATTTGCTCAAGGTGTAAGTGCAGCTATATATGGTAATGTTAGAGTTTGTGCAGAGTGCCAGGATTAAGATATTTCTAGAAGATGACAATTCTAAGTCATTTGCTGTAAGATGTATAAACATTGCAAAGAATTTCAGAAGAAAATGGAAGATTAGAAGAACTCCGACACACTGCTCCTCAGGTTATTACAGGTTACTGGATCCCCAACGTTACCAACT